ATGCTTGCTTAATTATTAGTGAATTGTACTGTTTCTCTGACATTAGTAACGCTGACAGGGTTTGTCAGTATTCAGGAAGGGCAATGCTATAAGCACACAGCTTAATTGTGCTCATTAAACACACTATTTAGCAGTTATGATATGACAGTGCAAATACTGTTTGTGGTTTTGCTGACTCACAATTAAATTCTCAATATTTTTTCAAAACAAGATTAATTTAGTGGAAAATTACGGAACTGGGTACCTCAGTTCACTACCTCTCCCCCATTCATATCTTCAAAAACAAAGAGAAGTGAGCACCAATTAGTGTGTTAGGGTGCAAAAACTGGCTTCTCTCCTTCTCTCAGAACAGTCACCTTTTGCACTCTTTCTGCCTCTCTATATTCAGTTTGGCTTAATGTACTGACAGGCTGACCTAGGACAGAAAATTTCTGCAGCACAAGTTTATCCATGTGGCGAGTCAAGTGCGGTATAGTGTGCTGATGCTGCTGGACAATGTGCTGCTTATTAAGGCCAAGAGATTTGTACAAGTATTTCTGGGCATTTGCTACAGGGATGTTCCCAGAAGACAGCCTCCTACACTCCCTAGTCCCCTCTCACACAGCAGTACCGTGCTTTGTACCAGTTGTTATCAGGCCTCTAGCTTTGTACAGATTGCGGATTAGGGCAGCTTCGCTCTGCAGCTGGGTAGGAGTGTTATGTAATGCACTAAGCGCTCTGATGCAGTACCTCCTGCTTACAGAGTTGTCCCATATAATTCCTCGGTAAAATTATCACCTATGTGAATGTGACTGATTTGTACTGGACAAGCTGGAACAAAATCATATACAGGTATGTTGTCCTTCAGGTCGCAGTTAAATTAATGAACGCTCTGAGAGCTTTTCTGGTTTGTACAAATAAATTCCTAAATTGAAAGCACTGCTTGCCAGACTTTGCTGACAACCTTCGTGTCAAGGTAGATTTGTTCTGGGATTTCCTCCAACGTGTTTTTTTGTTTTGTTTTGTTGTCCTGTTCCCCCCCACCCCACCCCTTTGCCCAACACTAGCAGAGGCTAAATCTGCGGGCAGTTGTACCTCCTGCTCCACTCTTTTTTCCTGCAACAACGCGCTGACCCCAGTCTCCTGTAGCTCCAAAAATCACTGCGGCCAGGAGTGTCCCTGTTTCAGGTCAAGGTAAAAGGACTGCTACCGTTTCAAACATACGTCCTCCAGATTTAATGCTGTATTGGAGCCAGCACTATTTGTGACTAGAGGCTATAGATCTGCAGGCTTGCTGGGGGATTGCTTAATGATAAGCCTGCTGATCTGTCCCTCAACATGCTGTACACAAGGAAGTCAAACCCCTGCTACAGACAAGACTGCCTGCCTCTCTTCCGCTTCACCTTGTAACCATTGTTGCAAGAGAATTCCTGTCATGCTTTTAAGAGTTTGACCATCAGTGACTGTTTCAAGCCAAGCCCCCCAAAAAAGGAAAGATACCTCTTAGCCATGAGCTTGCTAATTTTATTGCTGAATGAGATTATTGCTTTAAGTGAAATTGTGAGAAGCAAATGGCAAAGAAAGGGCTAAGGCTGTGACTTTAGCAGCAGCAGACAATATTAAGGTGGCTCAGTTATCACAGTTATTCCCTTTGCTCTTCCTTCCAGGCAAGGGAAATGCCGATTTGTTCTGGGACTGGGAGAGTTTGCTAGCTAGGAAGGTGAATGGCTCAAGCAGTGTTTTCCGATCTGTCACAGTCACTTCCCACAGTCTTACTTTCTCAGCCCTTGCCCATTGCTGTGCTGCTTCTGTTTCCACTTGTCTTTGCTCCAGGAGGTCAGTTTTGTTTCCCAAGACAATAACAGTTACCTACAAACAAAGGAAAAGGATGAGGTTTATACAAAAAGCATCCACCACTCGCAGCGCTTTTAAACAGCAGGCACATAGCAACACAATTCAGACCTGTTCTTTAACTTAACCCTGGCACAAGGTAAGCTGCATATATTTTGGAAGAGTAAGCTGTGGATTCAAATCAGCCTCATATACATTTGCGAAATGGGAGCAGACTTCAATGACAGGACAGGCTGGAGTCCGCCCCACAGATCACTTCAAGGGAAACCATACCCAAGAGAGCAAAAGTTAAACAGCCCTTTTCTCCATTTACTTTGCAATTGAGCTGCCCTAGACAAATGATAAGCGCGTGAGATCCAGGTAGCTCAGAGTAGCAGATGCTTGAGAGATAGACTGGAAAAAAAAAATGCATGGCAGCAAAGAAAGCCTGGCCCTAACAGTTGTGGGTTTTACCCAGCTCGCAGCATAAATGAAGCTAATCCCTGCTATAAGGGATGCCTGTGTAGACAGCATCAGGCAGCCCTGCAAGGCTGCGGCATAGGCTGAATTGTTAGCTCCTCTCCCAGCTGGCTACTCACTCCTGCAGGTATGGTAAGCCACTAGAGGGACCTAAGTGGACAGTCTTCTGTAGCTGAATGGGTCAGGTAAGCACCAGTACCATCCTACTGGAAGCAGTTTCAGGAGCAGCTAGTTATCTAGCTAGAGCAGCATAGCTGTATCAAGTCATTCCCTTAGTTGTAAGGATCAATCAAGTGACTTCTGTATCACCAAGACAGTACAGCAGAGCTGAGCTCCGTGGCCTGCCCAGTACTTCTGTTCTTGGCAGTACTGAACATAGAATTACTGTTCCTTCATGCTTATTTTAAGTTAATCATTTTCTAAAAAAAAATTGTTAACAGTATCAGTCATTAGGGGTAGCCATATTGGTATGGCTTAGTCAAACTCTGGGATCATCTCTGTGCTCTGCAGTGGTTTGACGAAGACCTAGTGATAAGGTCCTCTCCTGCTGCGGATTAGTTTTTTGCTACGGACGCAGCTGCCTGCCCTTTCCTGTTCATCAAGCTAACTCTGGGATGTCTCCTGTTTCTTTCGCACTAGAGATATTTGACCTGGTCCTGTAAGATTTGAAGCTTCCTTTCTTTTCTATAGCAGCACATGGTGTTTAGATAGATGTTTCTCCCTTTGCAAAGGCTTTGAAAGAATCTGTCATCTTCATACGCACTTACCACATGCTCCAACTGAATGTTACCTATGGTTCAGTTCTGTCAGTGTGAGAGAACACAACTTCTATTTAGTATAGAATTTGGCCAGACTTTAAGGTGCGTGCTGGAGAACTGCCACAGCCAGCAGAGGCAAGGAACCAGCCATCAGTGTTTTCTGTCATCTGCCAAACAGCAGAGGACTGTGTCACTCAACAAGGTGAGGTTTTGCCAGCTCAGAGGCACCACCATGTGTGAGATAAAGCCTTAATTCTGTTAAGGAAACATTCTAGCAGAGCCCAGGCCATGAGCCTGCTGATGTTATCTAAGGACTCCTGGCCTCACCTTCTACCGACTTCAAAGCTTGTTTTGTACGGAATGGAAATCTCAGTGATGAAACTAATTTTATCCAGTTTATTGTGAGCACCACTATTTCCATTATGTCATTCTTGGTCAAGAACGCAGCAACTTTCAGTTCTCACAAAGGATGAGCAAATTGGCAGTTTTCTAAAATACCTGCATGCAGTGAGAGAGAGAAGGCAGGCAACACACAAGAGCAGGGACACGCATCCTGTTAGGGCTGTGACTCTTGTCGCTCTGCACTAGAATATGCCCTAATGCAACAAGTCAGGGCCCTCGTGAAGCACACCGCCTAGGAAACATTTCCTGCTTGTCCACCTTTCCTTACCCTGCAGCGTAGCTATGACTGACTCCAGTAACCCTGATATACATGACAGTCTGCAGCTCCCGCAGGCCTTACCAGCTAACATACCTCTCCTGTGACTGCATGTTAGGCTTTATGTCAAACTATGAGCCTGCCTTCCTCCACTACCACCTCATGTGCTGTGAGTACTAAGCAAGTTGCATTTTGGAAAGTCTCTCCCTACTGCTAGCCAATTAATTCTTCATGCACCTTTTTTTTTTTTTTTAACAGCATAAAAGAGGCATTTGGAGAGCTGTAGGCTAAAGACATTTAGCAGGGAAAACTACTAGAGAGTATAAAGATACTGTAAGAAAAGCCATAATGGTAATGCCACGTGCAAGTTATATTTGTTTAGCTAAGCTGGAACACTGTCAGCTGAAAACACTAGCTGCTTTCTAAGGGAAAATAGAGCAGTCATTTCACACAATTGAATAGATTCAATATGGTTGTTAAAATACATTAAAGCCGCTTTGCCAATTGACTAATGTCTGGGAGACCCATTGTCAATTACACTAGTTTGTAAGCCATCAAGTACATGAAGACAAAACAAACAAAGATAATGCCCTTCGTTATATTATTCTGTGCACTTGACTTCCCATGTACAATATCTAAAAAAACATATCCACTGCACCGCTGCAGACCATATGTTTTATTAGTCATAAGTGTCCTGACTTGTGCATTCAGCTATTTGAATTTTAGCTGAAGCAGAGGAAGTAAGGGAAAAATAAACACACACACACACATATGCACACACACATATTCTTTTGCGCGATTTGCATGGCATGTGAATTAGGCTTCCCCAGCATGAGAAAGCTTCCTTTTGTTGGACTGCCCAAGGCTGTGGGCAAACTTGTTTTCCTTTGTATGCAAGTTTTACAGAAACCAAATTCATGCTTTGCAACCTTACTTCCTACCACTGATATACAAATAAGCCAAGCAGTTAAGGCATCGTGCGTTTACCTCCTTCTTGTCTCTAAAGACGTCGATCTCTTTTTTGAGCAGTTCAACCCTTTGGAAAGCTTCGAGGCTGGTCACAGCGTACACGAGAACAAAGCCATCAGCAACAGAGAAATAGTGTTTTGGCAATTCTACACCCTCCTGCAGACCCCTAGTGTCATAAAGCCGTAACTGTTCCTTTACGCCTCGATCTGTTTCCACCGAAGCCAAATACACATCTTCCATTGTTGCACCCTCTTCTAAGCCTGTTTTAAAACAAGCAGGAAAGTTCAACTGGTAGTACAGCAGCACTATAAGAATTACTCAGACTGCAGTAAAACTTTGCATGGTAGTAGCTTTCAGTGCATATTTTTCCAGGGGGACTTGACCTGGACTCAGCCTTGACTGTCATCCCCACTAAAGGACCATATTCATAGATCACCATGCCAACTATTTACAGTAGTGGGACCATGTAAATACAACCATCTAATACACAAGTATATGATTATGCCTGTAAAATTAATCCACATAACATGTAAATTCAGGATGGGATAAGATTATATATGGCTCTTCCCCCAGGTTTCCCAAATCCTAATCACCCAGTTTACCAATTCTGTGCCAAACATGTTGCAAATGGGCCTGCCCAAACATACCCTTTTGGAAGAACAGCCAAGGAACACCAGATAGTCAAGCACTAAAATCTTGAGCCTGCTTCTTTTCTTCACACTGAGCTGGATCGTATTGCAGAAGCAGGAGCCCAAAGAATAATTCCGGAACTGAATGTGTATACTGGTGGTACAACTAATCAACAAGTGAAATCAAGCCAGTAAGGGAAGGGGATGTTTGCATGCAAGCCAAGGTGCATGCTATATTTACTCAAATACAGAGTGCGCTTTTGCCATCCCTTAGGGATTTAAAATGACTCAGATTCGCTAATAGGAGCAAGCTCATTTACTGCAGGGTAAGAACATGCACAAGGGAACAAGCTTTCATATATATCACCTGCTCCATAGTAACTATCTGCACACTGGCTCCTCTTCCTTCCTCTCCCCCTGGTAAATGTGAGATAAATTCAAGGTAGCTTACTTTGAATTAATTAAAACTATTTTTTCCAAGCCAAATCTGAAAACAGATCGATCAGCTTAGCTTCATGGTCACCCTGGATGCAATCAGAGAGGGTTACAGATCCCAACAAAGTATCTATAGAGTAGCTGGGTCACTTTCAGAGTCAGCTTTAAGTTTTCAAACAAACCCTCTGCTAGCCATGTTTTTGCCTCCGCTGCACTCCTATATACATGGATTGTTTGCTGTTGTAGGGCAACTGATGAGTACCGCATTATTCTCTTTGTCTGCCAAAACGGGACCATATTAGTGCATTGTTTAAGAAAACACCAGGGATTATCTAGACTGTGAAAATAAGGATTTTTCTATATTCAATGACACTATTCAAAATACTTCACATTGACAAACAAGCTGAAGAATTCCACCCACGCTGATCATTTCCCATGATGTATGCAACATTCCTTTGCAGAGAAGTGGCACAAGCTGTTCTCTTAGCCCCTCTCTGTGCAGCCTTCGTAGATCAAACTCTTACTAGGTTTGCGGCAAACTAATTCATCTTGCTTCGCAATAAAGCCCCGTTAACATGAGAGACCAAAACTAACAGCAGAAGGGCAAAACAAAAAGGTAAAAAAGAGGAAGCGTGAACACAGTCTGTGTGGTTGTGGAGTGTGTTACAGGGACGTTCTTAAAGACCAAACTAGGTAATTGAGCCCTTTCTGTATTTTTTCTTCCTCTGCTTTACCTCATTGTACAGACAGGTCAAGGAAGTATCTAGCATGAGTAACTATCATGTACTGTACTCATAAGTACATAGGTTTTCTTTCTGGAAAGCAATGAATAATGTTGTACGGGTTTTTACCACCTAAACACTGCATTATAATTCAACGGTCTTTAATATATCTGCATTTTCCTGTGATGGTTTCTTCCTAACGGCATTAAAAGTAGCAGCGAAAATTCTGTCTTTTAACTTCCTACCTGAAAAAGAAGAGGAAAAATTTAGCCCTGGGAGGTAAATCAGCAGAGTGGAGCATCACGTTTTGACGTGAAATGGAAAAAAATGTCTTTGGAGGGAACTGGAAATTATGTGTCAGGGTTGGTTTCCAGAGGTGAAATTTCACCTACATACATCAGAGGACTAATCAAATGCAGATAATTTGTAGATATACCTACCTTATTATAGGTCCTGGTTCTAAAGCCCAGACCATGTGGTAGCTGAAATCTTGCTGACAACAATATTTACACTTCTTGTTAGTACACTCCTGATTAAATATTTTCCTGATCTCCATTCAAACATGTGCTGGACAAGCTGTTGTATGAGCAGCACAGCTAATTAGGAAAGGTCAGTGTCCTAGGAACATATCTTGTATCATCCCATCCTCCTCACCACAAGAAGCCCAGGTTTACTTTCCTTCACACAGTGCCCCAGGCGTCCTTCTACAACTGCGACCTGGGTCGGGCAAGGGCAGCTCGCGCTGGGGAGCTACACGTGCACCAACTGCAGGCTGCTGCCAACTCAGCTAGGTTTTACTTAGCAGAGAGCATTAACGTGGGTCTGTTCTCTCTATCCTGCCGTCAGTTGTTCTAAACTTACAGAAACATATTTTGAGATATCTACTGCTGCGACACAGACGAACAGGCTGATGGAATCAGCTTTCAGGTTCAGAAGCTATGGGGGAAAAGGGGAACTAACGGACAGTGACCAGTCTCGTGGTGTCTCTGAAAACTAGACTAATGATGAAAAAAGTTGGTGAGGGAAAGGAGGAATAGAGAGGAGACTGATGCCATTGTAGCACCTGACACCTCTGTAGCTCCTTCTACCTCAGGAGAGGCAGAAAGTCTTCATCTATGTTACCAACTGCTGCCACAAAGGAACTGCAAGGAGAAGCCTCAAACGTAGCTTGCATGATCCTTCAACCTCTGGTGGTTTCCCAATGAGGGGAAAAAAAAGGCTCAATGTACTAAGGCAACCTAGGCAAGCTATTGCAGATATCAAAATAAAGACAAATTTCAAGACTGATGGAGTTTCAGAAGTTCCCAAGTGATGCAGAAAGATAAATGCAATGCAAATGTTGTTTCTCCTCGGGTACTTTTGAAGATCTCACACTTATATAATCTCTCCTTCTCCCTGCCCTGCAGGAATTCAGCAAAGACCTCCTAAAGGTTGCTATTCCTAGCATTTGTACGACTGTAGGACAACAGCCTTTACTTAGATCAAGTGACAGCATATTAGTTGTCCAGAGAGGTTGTGGAGTCTCCACCCTTGGAGACATTCAAAAGCTGTCTGGATAGGGTCCTGGGCAATGTGTTTTAGGTGACCCTGCTTAAGTTGGGGGGTTAGACTAGATGATCTCCAGAGGTCCCTTCCAACCCCAACTATTCTGTGACTCTGTGATATCAGAGGATTCCTGACTCAGAGAAGTGCTGGACAGGCCTTAACAGGAGTTGGTCCGTTTAGATCCAGCTACAAGATCAAGTTCTGGTCCTACCAGCCAGTAGCCACATTTGTCACCCTCAGTTGCATATGTTCACTTCCATTTTCATTAATTTCTAAAATAGAAAGCTGACTGCAGCTTTGTCAGGAGGTAGGTTAAAAAAGAAAGACCTAAGAATGCGTAATTTTGATTAATTAGCTTCCACATAGTTGGAGCTGTCAAAGTCTTTCAGCCAAAATCCCAAATCCCTCAAACTGAGACCAAGTGAGGCAAATTCTCTCTCATTATTGTGGTTCTACCACAATAATATATAGTGTTTCCATTCCCAGCTGGTAAGATGATTTGCAGTAGCTGCTAATGAATAACCTGAGCATACCGTCTATTTATGCCGTCAGGAGGCAGAGATAAGGAGAATAGTATTTTCTACAGGATGAGTTCTCATCTTCTCCTGCTTAGCTGATAAGCTTTACCACAAGTTGAGAGGTCAGAGACATTTTAAAGGCAGAAAGAAGACTTCTTTCTGAGCCTTCACTGAACAGAGGTACTGATTAAGAAAAAAGCCTACCATCTTTATAGACATCTCACATGCTAAAGGTAAGCCAGTAACTTTCGCATTAGCTCTCTCAAGAGAGCTCAGGCCAGCCAGTGGGGCAAGCTTCCCACTTGACGAGTTTCCCAAGACACTCAAGACAGTCAAGGACCCATTTCATGAGTGAGGAGAAAAGATGGGCCGCTCCTTCTTTGGGAGTGCAACAGAAGGTGGAGGATTTGGACAAACAAAACACTGAAGCCACAAAAAATGGGATAGTCCCATGTACCAGAAGGCCACATGCATGTGTGCAAGCTTTGCCCAACCCATAGCAATATTGCCCCTGCATGACTCAGAGATAAATCTACACCCATTTCAAACATCTGCATTCAGGTTTTGTCTGATTCCCTTCTCAACTGAGCCAGACAGGCTGCCATGCAATATGTACATTACTTTAAGAGGCTCTGACCAGCCTCTCATCTTTTTGCCCTCTCTTCTCACATCACAGGACCCCAAGGCAAACTACCCCTCCTCTGGTTTTAAAGCCCAGCATAAAGCCAAATGTCATCTTTTGTTGCTCACATGCTCCAAGGGCACATATCTTCCTTTTTTAGGGGAAGACCTAGTAGGTCCCTCTCTAGTAATTTTTCCTCTTTGACCTCAAGCAATCTTGGTGCCTTTGCAAGACCGCTAGTGGCTGAACATGTAAGCAACTGCCATATTTAGGGCCTTTATCCATTACAAGCCAGGGAGAGCTAAGGTGCAGATTTTTCTAGGAAAAAATCACGCCACTACTGGGTCTACACTACCACTACTCCCAAGCCAAGGGCTTTATATAGCAGCATGAAACCTCCAAGGACACGTAATCACTTCCCTGATAACAGCAGTGCCACCACTCCCTCTTACAGGAAAGTCAGCAGGAGGCACATTAGCACTGACATAGATTTATGGCTGATTTACCACCAGGAGGAGACCCCAACGTCAGTGGCTTGGACATCTCAGACGATGACACTGGACCTCGATCTCTAAGCCTGCAACCAAATTCAAACACTCCTTTTGTCATTGCAAGGAGGATATGGATGCTGACAAGAACGGAGAGACTACGTGCGTTAGCTCAGCACTGCTCCCCACCGCATCCCATCTCCGCTCCCCAGCCCTCAGACCAGCAGAGAGCTTCTCCTGACGTCAGTCAGGAAGCACAGGTTTCAAAACAGCTTGTGTCCATGTTGCTGTACCTGATGAGCTGCGTTGCTAGCTGGCTCTGAACAGACGAGCTTTCAGCAAACACACTAGTCCTTTCTGCCTCCTGCCAAAAAGGCCAACGGCCAAGATGTACATGTCAGCTTTCTGGAGCTCACAAGCTTTAGGAAATGTGGCTCAAGATTTAGCAATAGTGCTTTAAATGTGAAGGGGCCATGCCTGTAATGGTAACACCAGCAATAGAGTTGGGCATTTCAGAACAGTTGAGGAGCGATCAAGCAGTTGCCAGTTATCAAACTGTTGTTGCCTTGTAGGAACCAAAGACCCTTATGTTGGTGTCCTGCTTCTGCAGTTTAATACCAGTTGGAGCAATAGCTAAGGATCTTCTGGAAATCTTTTTCACTTGTTCATATTTTCAGGTACCCTCTGGTAGCATTGCCCACGTGCTGAGGAACGTGCAGCGAGGAAAGCGACCATACAGCAGGGGCAGCACTGCCAGAAACACCAACATATCAAGCCTCTCCCCAAAATGTGCCTGGTGGCACACACAGGTGAATTCAAAAGAGCTGGGCACTGGCCGTTCATTCCCCTGGGGCTGCAGTGGCTCTAGATGAGCCTACTCCATACTCTGGTCTTGACTTTACTCTTTCATGTGTTTCTCTGAACATCTTAGGAATGAAGTCTGACAAAAAGCAAAGCAATGAGAGGCTACCTTCCTCCTCCCCGTCTTGCACCCCACCTGTGCTAGCAGCTGCTCCCTCCCCTACTATTAACTCTGAAAAATGACAGCAGAGCTGTGGCAAAGGAAAAT